GGAAACACCCATCAAAGACGACTTCCATAATCAAGTCCAAGACGCAGCAACCGTAGTCCGAGACGCGATATTCTCATTATCACACAAGACTGAAATGCACGTACTGGTACATCAGGTGAACATATTAAATATGTTCTGGGAAGTTTGGTCTTAGTGAGCGTTGCGAAAATGGCAATAACCTAGTGAATTTTTTTCACCTTAGCCGGCTGATCGGGTCTAACGCCCGTTTCCTGCACCAAAGAAAGCCGATTTGGCACTGGATGGATGGTCCAACGAACACCAGATTGATTACCTTTTGGTACGTGCTTGCTGGACCTTTTCAGTGGAAGACTGTTGTTCCAATCGTGGCACAGAAACCGGAACGACACAGACCACGCCCCTGTACGTGCCCACTCCGAGGTTCATTGGACTGTTCACCGGTAAATTAGCCCCCTCCCCCCGAGTAGGTTCAGCAGCGCTTTCCCACAACTACCCGAGAAGGCACGGGCGTTGCTCGACGCAACCCAACATAGCGGCAACCGCTCTCGACGAAGAAACTGTGGCTTCGACTAGAAACCTCCATCAGAGAAGCGGTGCTAGAGCATTTAGACTTCGTCAAAAAATAACTGAATGTCGGAGACTACAGTGCACTCATCCGCGAAGGTAACGAGGCGTGGCTGCTCAATTCCTCTGAATTTCGTAGTCTAAATCCTCAAGCAGCACACTCCGCCAGGAGCCCGTAAGCAATACTGGAGGATGATTGCAGACAGCATGAAGACTGCAAACGTTGCAGCAAACTTTGGAAAGCTACTTTGTCTAATCTGTGTTGCAGCAGAAAAGAGATAGACATCGGAGGCACTGTTGCGCAACATCGCAGGTCAACTTATTCAGGTAAATGAACAGAAAATGCAAAGGTGGACCGAACAATATAACTGGCTGCTCAATTGCCCATGAAACCAACGTCATTGTCCACAGGTGTCAAACAGTTTGGAGACCTACAACACCACTTGCGGCCCACCTAGTAGGACCGAAATGGATAATGCAGTCATTTTTCTGAAAAGCAGAAGAGCTCTTGGAAAAGACGGGGTACTTCCAGAACTGTTCAAGGCTTGCCTACCAAATCTGATCGATCCGCTACACTCTCTTTTCCACTCCATTTGGGAAACGGAAGTACTTCCAAAAGATTCGGTAACTTCAATTTTAGTTTCTGTTGCAAAATGTGCGACAGATCAAGATGCGAAAATTATGGGGGCATTAACCTCATTGATATTGCGGCCCAAATGTTGGAGGTGCTACTGTTTAACCACTTTGCACTCGTGAGAGATACCCGCACTCGCCCCAGCCAAAGGGGGTTGCGCCATGGAACAGGGTGTGTTGAACAGCTCTTCACTCTCCGTAGGATGTTGGAACACCACCGTAAGCTACAACAACCTACTACATCGTGTTTCATAGACTTTCGCGCTACCTTTGACTGTATCCACAAAGAATCTTTGTGGTGCATATTGCGGTTCGCCGAGATGCCCAAGAAGCTCAACATCGTAATATTCAGGGACCCGGGCACGTGTCCATATCGATGGAGAAGAATCCATTGAGGTTACACTAAGCCCCGGAGTCAGGCAAGATTGCCCTCTATCGCCGGTGTTATCCAGTTACACCGTAGATTGGGTAACGCGACAAGCGGCTTGACTCAGATACATGGATCGCAGACCTCGAGTTTGCAGATGATAACGTTATACTTCAGGACACAATAGACACCCTTCAGCGTGTTGTCAGTGGCTTGCCTAGGACAACACATCGAAAACAAATACATTTTCGATCGAAAATCCGAAACGACACAACCCCTCTCGATTACCGGGGAGCTCCTCGAATCAACCCAATTTATAAAGTATCTTGGCTCTACACTCTGACCAAAAGGCCAGAATAAGAACGGAATTCAACGCCATGTAGATGGAGCTGGAAGAGCTTTTCTGCAATTCCTCACACCGTTGTCGAGCAGCTGTGAATCAAACCTACAAACTAAGCTTCAGATTTATCAGGCTTCCATTCGCCCAATCCCAACTGGTGGTTGTGAAATATGGCCGATAAGAGTGCAAGAAGTGCAAGGAGGCTTGAGGTTTTTGTTCGTTAGTGCTTCCGCCGCATCTCGAAAGTAAATCGGAAAGGCCAAGTTTCCAATGATAAGTTTTGACGGCACTGCTCGAACATCGACAAGCATTTCACAATGCTACGACTCCGGCGCCTTCAGTGGTTTGGCTCCAAAGACCCGAAACTTACCCCTCGTGGCATGCCGTAGCCCCTTACACCCTACCGTGGATGGCGTTGCCGACTTGGTGGCCAACAGAAGACCTGGAGCAACACGATTAAGGCAAACATGGAACTACTGGGACTCTAATCCGTAACTGGAACCGGACCTGGGTTTCAAACTGCGCCAATCTTGCCGCCGATTGTCCCGCGTGGGCTGCCATCATTAGAGATATCCAACAAGCTGACTTATCCTCCTGCATGGGTTAGTAGTTCAAAAGTAAAAATTAAGTGTCGCAGGAAAAATACCACAACAGAATAACTAGCATTGTTTCCCGGATTTCAGCCGATATAATTGGCATTTTTATGCTGTATGCTACATCTACACCTCCAGGATATGACAAATGTTGATGAAAAGTACAGCATAGAACTAACCACCAACGATGTTAGAGTCAGTAAGAAAGCACAGTCACTACAGTATGATTTTTCCCGCAATTCGAAAATTCAAAACCAGAGGCCAGAAAGAGAAACGGGATACCCAAACCATCAACTCAATAAGCACAAAAAGCCAGATCAAGGTCCCCTATTCCTTTATTTTTCTTCCATTAATGTAAATCACGAGTTACATGTACGAGAAATGATTACGAGTACAGTTTGAACCGCTAGATAGATAAGGAAAATATAATCAGTCACTGAACTATCTTTGGTTTTGGTTTAAACTGGGCTATTGCATATGGAAGGTTAAACCAGGCTGATTATTCAGCGGGATCACGCAAGGCGTTGGACAATCTTTTAAAAACTTGGTCTATAGACCGGGTGGATTACAAAAACGAAACTTACTTGACTCCAGTTATCTGATAAACCGACCACCAACTGTTTAGACACATCCACGTACCGACTTTGGTTCGTGTTAGGATCGTTATGACATCCGTTGCCGAGAATAATTGTGGCCAACACATCATAGCCAGTTTCTCGAACAAATCGATTCACATGTTGCACCGCCTTGAAAATTAAATCCAGAAGTTCTGATCGTTCTATTTGAATAAAATCTTCCGGTTTAAGATTGACTACCATTTCTTGCAGACACTTCATCCACGTTTCTAAATGCTTCCATCCGGCCGTGTCGTGGAAAATGGACAGTGAACTTCGACTCATATTGACATCACGTTCCTAAATGAGTTTCCGATGGGAGAAAGTCAAAATATCATCTGAACCTGTCTTACTGAAAAATTTAGTATTCAGCATTGTCGTTTTACCAAATACCAGTCATCCGGTTTACTTGAGGAGAGAGTAAATCAGGCACGCTGGCACACAACCAGTAACCATAAACTATCATAAGACAAGTTTGGTTGCTGTTTCTTTTGCAACCCGTTCGATGGAAGAGCTAAAACCAGGGAAACTACGGTACGTTCCATAACTTGTGATCTGGTGGTCGCACCTGATAAAAGGCGTGCTTGGTGGACAAAACATTTAACTTACTTATACTTTACGGTGGCTGACTCCTGGGAGAGGATCAGCCGGATGATTCATGGATATCCCGAACAGCAGCTGTTCACACTCGGCGACAAGCTCTGCGCACGTTATGACCCAACCTGACTTCCATTGGTAATTGACGTCGACGGAGCAGAGACCAAGGTATTCTGCATCCTTGCGTACTGTGTCTACCCAGGTTTTCAGCTGTTCACCACCAAGGAAGCTTTACCCAGGTAGTTGTTTGATTTACGAAGTATGTGGCCAAGCCATTGCAGTCTGCCCCGTTGTGTGAGCGTGCGTAGTCATATACGATTATTACACCGGTTTCTGACCGCTTCGTTTGGGAGCTGATTCCTTGATCTTAGTCCCAGAATGATTCCGAGACACCGGTGATCGAACACTTTTAACCGTCGACAATCTTCTACTGTAAGTGGTCAGGTTTTGTGGCCCTACAGCAAGACAGGACGAACTTCTGAGGAGAAAACTTGTATTTTTGTCTTCAGGTTGGTCCCGTTTCTATGCAATTGGAGGTACTTCAGATGTAGAAAGACTTTCCTGGCAGCAATGACAAGCAATTGTTCCATGTCTTTAGATTGGCTGTTGCAGAGTATGACTGAGCCCAGGTAGTTAAAGCTTTTGGAGGATTCAATCGGCTCGTCGTTTAGTTGTTAATCACCTTCGGGGTGAACTGGGACTGTCTCAAACATTTTGCTACTGGATTTATTCACCAATAGGTCAAGCTCGACTGATGCGTTCAACCATAACTTGAAGGTTGAACATGTCCTCAACAAAGACGACAATATCACCAGCGAATTCCAAATTGGTTAACTAGAAGTTCGGATAAATCTGGAACCCTCGGTAGCCTTCATGAAACGACCTATTATCCAGACAATGGCTAAGTCAAACCGCACGGGAGACAACGGGCACCTGTCGCACTCCAGATATTACCTCGAACGCGGATGACTCCTCACCGTAGATGCGGATTCGGACTATAGCGTTCGAGCAGTAGGATCTCAGGAGGTTACCAAGCTTAACTGGGACATCATCGGGCAGCAATGGGTTCGGAAGGATTCGTAACGATGGAATCGAGCCACCAAAATGAGATTGCACTTTGACAGTATGATGGCCTGTACACCTCTATGATCCAACGAGCTACACAGGATGGCTTTTATTAAGTCAGGAGATCTTATCACGTCTCGGAGGTCAGACAAAGTTTAGTCTCCTGGTCCTCCAGGTTGGGGGTTTGACTCGAGTTAGCGTCTTAGTCGGTGAAATGATAGAGTAATCGATCCAAGTAAATGGATCTCCGCGCTTTAACCACTGCCTTGCGGTCAGGTTCTTGTCAGAACTAAAGGCTTTGAACAAGAACCCTAATCGTTCTCCTGCTTAGTGTCTGGACACCCTGGCAATACCGGCCTATCAAACTCTAATACGGACACAAACAAAAAATAATTTCACGCTGCATCGGTTATCGGGCAGGATAATCAGGACCGCGCTGCCCATTGTATCGAGCGGGGTGGGTGGCGATAAGTGGGCTACTGCTCAGACATGCCAGCTTTTGTATAACTCTTTGTCTTCCGTAACCAATCCTCTCAATTTACTCCTCCTTCCGACGCGTAACATTTCAGCAGACAATTTGTTCGTCATTCGGTAAAGTTCGTCGCCAAGTAGTTTACCACAAAATAGGCTGTAGATTCTGAAGCTTCATCAGGCTTTCAATCTGAGGGCCTTCCACGTGAGGACTCTGACGCGGGTGGGCCAACAAGGTTGTCGGGTGCGTACAATGGACTCAATGGGAGTTTATCTTTGCTGTGTATTGAACTTGAATTCAGGATTGTAGTACTATAAGCAACTTGAGTGAGCCGAGGTTGTCCGCGAGGTTCTTCCTCCGCACGTCAGGTGATGAGGAAACCCGTTCAGTACGCCAGCGTGGCGTAGGTATTGTATTCAACAATACGACCGAAGTAATACTGCTCAATCCCTGTCAACAGTCCTCTTGTGCGATGCCTCCAAAAGCCTCAATATTGTCGGGGGTGTCTCGGGTTGCACTTGCACCTCATAAAATGCTCCTATATGACCAAGCGTCTTAAACAGCCTCTGCTGAAGAAGCCCTACTCACTGGCCCCGTGGCGGAGGTGCTTTTCCCCACCAAAGGGAGAGGACGAAAAGCCGAAATCTGGGGCTAAAACCGAATCGGTGAACCACTGGCAGTTCACCTAGGGGAGATGCTAAAAACCCGGATACCAAACCAATCAAGAGGCGTACGAACCACCTACACCTTTCTGTTCGTGACACGGGTCATGGAAGTGTATTGGGCACCTTGGACGTTTGACCCCGTCCGAATGGCGCATGATCCGAAGAACCGGACACCAGCCCTCTGTGGATTGCGGAATCTAAGTTCCGTCATACTATCTTGCAGGTCAGGCTTTCCAGCCAAAGGCTTCGGGTGGGGACCCCGAGGTTATCCCCCTTCTTCGGCCAGGGTAACCGGGAAGTAACATGCCGACACAACTTATGAACATATTATACATTTCCGAATTTTTCGCTCTAACGAACTATGCGCTCTTCAACCGAAGTGCTGGCGGTCGACTCCACAGATTTCCACGTTACCACACCAACAGATCACACTCTTTCCCTTCCTCAGTTATTGAACTTTCCTATTCTCAGCTCGCGGCCTATTAGTTCGAGTCCTCAACAGTGTGGAGCGTTTTTCTTTTTTTTTAAAGATTATTGTACCATGACTTGTTTGGCACAGTCTGGTATCAGACGTGCGCGAAATATATATATATATATATATATATATATATATATATATCAGGACAACGACGGAAACCATAGTTTTGTTCCCATGCGAAAGAAACAAGCTTCCGATCAGGTTATTCTGAAAAAAGTACTCGCGCCGCAGTCGCAGATGAAGTTAGGGACTTTCAACGTTCGAACACTTATGCAAGTTGGGGCTCACGCAACACTCGCTCGCACACTGTAAACGCTTGTCATGGGCGTTTGCGGCCTTACTGAGACACGGCTACAGAATTCGAGCACCGTACTGAAACCAGCTTCGTCGTCTCCGGATTCTGCAAGCTCGTTCACCCTCTGCCTCTCTGGAGATCCGATGACAGAGGCCGCTGGTCAGGTCGGTGTGGGGATAGCAATAAGTGCACGAGCAGAAGCATTTTTACTCGACTGGATTCCGATCAATAGTCGACATATGTCTAAACGGATCGCCGAGTGCATCTCGTAATGGGACAAAAAAGCTCTGTTTGTTCGTCATCGTGGCGTATGTGCCGACGGACTGCAATCCGGACACAAAAAGTACGAGTTCTACCAACAGTTCACC